TGGCCTCAAGTGATCCTCCGGCCTCAACCTCCCAAAGTGCTAGGATTACAGGTGTGAGCCGCTGTGCCTGTCCTCTCTCTGTTCTAAACTACACTCTGATTTGCATCTGCTGCAGGCAGATACAGCAGACAGAGAAGGGTAGGCCCTCAGCCCTTCCAGCCTCCACCCAGCCCCCTCCATCCTCCTAGCCTGGCTCAGACCCCATTCTCTGGGGTGCCTCCTTTCCTGCTTCCCAAAATGGAAGGCCCCAACTTCTTCTTTTTTTTTTTTTTTGGTTTTTTTTTTTTGAGACAGAGTCTCGCTCTGGAGTGCAGTGGCACGATCTCGGCTCACTGCAAGCTCCGCCTCCCAGGTTCACGCCATTCTCCTGCCTCAGCCTCCCAAGTAGCTGGGACTACAGGTCGCCCCACCACCACGCCCAGCTAATTTTTTTGTATTTTTAGTAGAGACGGGGTTTCACCGTGTTAGCCAGGATGGTCTCAATCTCCTGACCTCGTGATCTGCCCGCCTCGGCCTCCCAAAGTGCTGGGATTACAGGCATGAGCCACCGCGCCCGGCCTGGAAGGCCCCAACTTCTAAAGCCTCAGGCCAAACCCTAGACTGGCGCCTAGACTGCACAACAGGATAGTACCAGCCATGGAGAGAGATGCCTAGATGCCCTTTCAAGGAGCCTACAGCCAAGCTGTTCCTGCTTCAAGCCGAGGTGGGGACAAGATGACCTCCCCGTGCCCTTCCCTTGCATCAGAATCTGCCAGATGACCTTCTGCTTACAGGGTAAAGCCCAGATGCCTCCTGGGACAGACCAACCCCGTATGTGGCATCAACCCACACCCAAGGTGCCTGGTGTTTGCAAATAGGCCAGCCTCTAATTCAAACGGCAGTTTTACCACGTGACTGCTGCCCACTGGTTCTGCTTGGTCCCTTGGCCCTGGCCCAGTACCTGGCACGGCGTGGTGGTCAGCAAGTTGGGTGAAGAGAACACAGTGTCTCTGGCTGAGCCTTGGTGACCAGCAAGTCTGTTCATCCATGACCCGTTCCTGTGGAAGGGAACTGAGCCTAGTGGCCACTAGATGGCGTTGCTCAGCTGGTCAGGTGTGAGCGGCCACAGCCACCGCAGTTTAGAGGCAGGGAGAAAGCCTGTCTGGTAGCTGCAGGTGGAGTTTTCTAAAACCCAGATTTGTTTCACCCAGAGGCATCACCCCCTTTGTTCTCTAGACTTGACTCTGACTGCCATAGCACTGTCCTCAAGGAGAGGGAGCAAAGCCTTGGCCACTCAATAGCTATGCAGTCTTTGGTGACTTCAAGAACCTTGCCTGAGTCTTCATTTCTATGTCTGTAAAATGGGGATTCAGCCATGACTGCTCCCCAGGTAGTTGTAAGAATAAAATCAGTGAAAGCTGGACACAGCAGGTGCTTGACAAATTAGAGCTTCCATTTCATAACACCTCCCAGGGGCTTTACCTATCGACATGTTAGGGGATCTGCGATGGGGTTGGCGGAGGGGCGGGAGCTGGGGCCTCTGAAGGGGCTCCTGTGTCCTGTTAACTCCTTTGGGAGTAAGTGGACATCCCTCCCCCAAGAGCAGTTACTTGGCAGTGTGGATGGGACAGAGGGCAGCAGCTGGTGAGGCACGGGGGAGAGCCAGCACTGTCTACCCCCAGGCCACGAGCTGGTGGTGGCTTCATCTCCACAAGCAAGTTCTCTCTGCCGGCTCAGAGTAGAGACTGCTTTCCCACCTGCTTTCTTGGCTCTCTGACTCCCCCAGTGGGTGCTGTTTTCCCCACCCTCACCCCTCCCCATCCCTAGACTTGAGCCCCACAACTCCATCCAGTTTGAAAAGCTCTCTGTGTCACTCTCTCTCGGGTGTGGGTCTCATTTGCATCTCAGCCTGGAGCTTTACAAGGAGAGGGCCCATGCCTTTCCCCCAACAGATGGGGACTTCCTGATGCTAGGACCTATGTCTTCCCAGCAAACTGGGGTCTCTCTAAGGACAGTGTTTCTCCCAATCCCAGGCTAAAGCGCCCACAGGACAGGAGTCATCCTCTTCCCTTGGATAGGTGCTCCCGGGTTAGAACCCATGGCTCATTGTCAGATGGGAGCTCCTTGAGGGCAGGAGCTCCCATTCTGTTGGAGAGGGGGCTGCCTCAGGGTAGGGCCCATTCCTTACCCGCATCCTCAGCATGTGCCCTGCCAGGCTCTGCTGTCTAGAACCGACTCCTGTGGCTGCAGAATGGTTCCTGACCGAACCCTGGGTCCCTTCCCCTTGCCCTTCCCTGGCCTTCTCAGCATTGGCTCACTCACCTTCACAGACCCCAGGCTGCTGCGCTGGGGTTGATAAGCTCAGGCCCATTCTTCTTTGCTTTTCCCCACCCAGCCAGGGCCTGCTCCAGCCTGCCCCCCGACCTCCCAGCTTGTAACCCTGAGAGCAGCTTTTTAATTGCTTTCCCTGATCTGCTCTGTTCCCCACTCTCCTCAACCTCCCTGATTGGCTCCCTCTGGAGGGTGAAAGGCGGGGACCAGATGTGGCCCTGGTGGGAGGAGCGGCTGGCGAGTGGCCAACCCAGCAGTCCTCCAAATGGACAGGATGAGCTGGAGAACGGAGAACGGAGAACGGAAGCAGGAGGGCTGCATGTGAGCTGGGGGAAGCCCTCAGGGTGAGCTGGAAAACACAGCCACCATCTCTGGTGGGGCCCCTGTGGTGATTCCCCTGCCCCACATTCTTTTTTTTTTTGAGGCGGAGTCTCACTCTGTCACCCAGGCTGGAGTGCAGTGGCACGATCTCTCAGCTCACTGCAGCTTCTGCCTCTCAGGTTCAAGTGATTCTCCTGCCTTAGCCTCCCAAGTAGCTGGGATTACACCATACCCGGGTAAATTTTTGTATTTTTAGTGGAGACGGGGTTTCACCATGTTGGCTAGGCTGGTCTTGAGCTCCTGACCTCAAGTGATCCTCCCACTTCGGCCTCCCAAAGTGCTGGGATTACAGGTATGAACCACCATGCCGGCCCCCACATTCTTTATCTCAAGCCCTCCTGGATCCTTCTTCACAAAGAACCATGGAAGAAGGGAAGATGACCATGAACCAAATTCTGCCTGGGAGCTGGGATGCTCCAGACATGACCAAGAGCCAAGGGGACATTCCTAGGGGAATCTGGGGATCTGGGAGGCAGCACTCCTGAGTTAGTACCTCAAAGAGGCTCCCCAGGTGGTGATGAAGTCCCCTTTGTGGGTCAAGCTGATAGCCATGTGTAAGGGGGACACAGAGAGAAAACCCAACCCCTTCTCCTTGGCAGATACCAACACTGATTGAGATTTTGGCTTACACTCAGGTGATAGGAACAGGTGCCATCCTGATTTTGTGCTTGGAGGGACCATGTCTTGTTCTGTTTTCAGCCCCTGGCACTGAGCCTGGTTCTCTGAACTGGGCAGGATTTGTACCCCAGGGTGGGGACCCAGGTGTGAGCTGTGGGGACTGAGTCAAGCAAGGAGGTTGGCATAAAAGGCCTGGGGCATGAGGATTTCTAAACTCATAGAGGTGGAGTGAGAGGCTCTGCCAGGCCTTCGGGGTGGAAGAGGCAGGATGAGGCAGGGAGAGGGGGGCATTAGACAAGGCTGGGTCCTCAGCGGATGGGGAGCCATCGATCGTCGCTTCTCATGGATGACTCTTTATGTAAGAACAATCCAATCTGAGTCTCATCGCCGCCCACGGAGGTCAGCTGGGAGCTGGCTGTCAGCTTGCTGCACCCTGGAGCCCCTGCCAGCTCCCTGCGAAGCTCAAAGCTCAGACCAGCCAAGCTGCCTCCTGGCGTGGGGGACGCCACACTGCGAGTGAGCACTCTCAGCCCGACCTCCTGTGATTGAGGGCAGGAGCCGCACATGCTTGACTCCATCACCATAGAGTCTTTGTGAATTTAATGGGTCACCTGGGAGCACAGCTTGCACCACACAGCCACAAATGTTTGCCGAGTGCATGACCAGCTGTAGAACACGCTTGTCAAGAGTGACCTCTTCCACTTGAGCTGCCCCCGGCCCAGGCAAAATTCTGCCCCGTGCAACGGACCCTATTGGGTGAAGGTTGCCCTCCTGGCCCTCGTTACCAGCTGCCTTGCCCTGTGCCTGCTGCCTCCGCACTTGCAGGGGTGATGGTGATGATCAAATAAGATAATATATGTGAAAGCCCCGGGAAATGGCGGATGTTATTCAATTTGAATCCAACCAACACTCAGCAAGGCCTCCTGAGGTCAAGGCACCATGCCAGGGTGCTGGGGGCTATGATGATGTGAATCTGTGACTGCTTCTCTGGAAATCATGGTACAGAGTTGGGGGAAACCTCATTAAGACTAATTGGAAAGGAGGGAACCCCAAGCACATGAAATGTCTGTCCTTTTCACTTCCCTCTAGAAGTGAGCAGACATTATTCACTTCTGGAGGAGAGCAGCTCGGTGTGAGGCAGAGAAGCAGACCTCAGATCCAGAACACTTGAGTCTAACTCTGGGCAAGTTTTGTGACCTTTTTGGAGCCTATCATTATCTCCCTTATGAGGTGACGCAGCTCGGTGAAGGGCCTGGCAGCCAGTGGGTGCTCGATGCTCCTGGCTATTCTTTCCTCTACTCCAAAAAGGGCTCAGAGGCCGGGCACGGTGGCTCATGCCTGTAGTCCTAGCACTTTGGGAAGCCGAGGTGGGTGGATCACTTGAGGTCAGGAGTTCGAGACCAGCCTGCCCACCATGGTGAAACCCTGTCTCTACTAAAAATAGAGGTGTGAGCCAGGTGTGGTAGCTCACACCTGTAGTCCCAGCACTTCGGGAGACTGAAGCAGGAGAATCGTTTGAACCGGTGAAGCAGAGCTTGCAGTACAAGTGGTGCGAGATCGCACCACTGCACTACAGCCTGGGAGTTGCAGTGAGACTCTGTCTCAAAACAAAACAAAACAGAAACAAAAAGGGCTCAGAGCTGAGGGGCTGACCTGGTAGAGGCTGCTCCCCCAGAACAGCCAGGACTCACTTGAAATTAGCCGCATTTATTTATATGCTTCTCACAATGCTCTAAATACCTTTAACATGTTTGTTTTCAGAAGCAGGTTAAACACAGACTCCTGTAATTTTGTTTACACTATTAATTCATTCAGCCAACCATATTTTCATGGGGAGAATGGAGGGAAACTTAGGTGGCACTGTTGCACAATCCAAGGGAGTGGAGATGGAAGTCACGAACCAGGTGGAGGCATGGCGGCATAGCAGACTGCACTGGACTCAGGCCTGCGGGGTTTAGCTTGGAGCCTCACCTAAGACCTGGTGACCACTAAGAAGGCAGAACTCCTAGCAACCCACCCCCAAGGCTGTAGAAGGGTGGAACAGACCTCCAGATGCAATTACCCCCAAACCCATGGAGAAGAGGAGGCCCTTCAAGGTGTATTGGGCTGTGGATTGAAGAGCTGGGCTCAGACCTCAGGCTCCAGGAGGAGGCAGAGTGATAACTGTTTTCTGTATATACTCAGAAGTTTCCTGAGGTCTTAAGAGTAGGAAGGTGAGAAAGGGAAGGTGTTGCTATCCTATCTAGGTGTACAGAGAGACACACACACCAAGGATGGAGACGGTTTACTGTTATACCAAAAATATATGTATATATCTCTCTATATATATGCAGAAATAAAGGATCAGAAGGCTATAAACCCAAGTATCATTAGCATTTGTATCTGGGTGCAGCATTAAGGCTGAATTCCCCTTTCTTTACACTTTTACACTGAACGTGTATCCTATTTACAATAGAGTGAAACAATAAAGCTGTCTTCATTTGGAAATCAAGGCACCATTATCATCCACATCTTCACCAGGACTGTGGTTGGGGACTGAGGGGAGTAGGGATGAAGATGTCCATCTCAGAAACCAGGAAGAGCCAAGCTGCGACTCCCAGCTCCCCAACCCATCCTCACTCCTCCTCCACTGCCCATGGCCAACACTGTGGGGCCTGTGTTAGAGACAGGTGGGGAAAAGAGCCCAAGAGCTGTCTGCCTGCACGGAGGGCATCATAAATGAGAGGGGAGGCCGGGCGCGGTGGCTCATGCCTGTAATCCCAGCACTTTGGGAGGCTGAGGCAGGTGGATCACGAGGTCAGGAGATTGAGACTAGCCTGGCTAACACGGTGAAACCCCGTCTCTACTACAAATACAAAAAAATTAGCTGGGCGTGGTGGCAGGGGGACCTGTAGTCCCAGCTACTAGGGAGGCTGAGGCAGGAGAGTAACCTGGGAGGCGGAGGTTGCAGTGAGCCGAGATCACGCAACTGCACTCCAGCCTGGGTCACAGAGCAAGATTCTGTCTCAAGCAAAATAAAAATTAAAAATGAGGGGGGAACATGGCAGCACCTTTAAAACAGCAACACGGGTCAGGTGCGGTGGCTCACGCCTATAATCTCAGCACTTTGGGAAGCTGAGGCAAGCGGATCACCTGAGGTCAGGAGTTCAAGACTAGCCTGGCCAACATGGCAAAACCTCATCTCTATTAAACAGATGAAAATTAGCTGGGCATGGTGGTGGGCACCTGTAATCCCAGCTACTTGGAAAGCTGAGGCAGGAGAATTACTTGAACCCAGGAGGCGGAGGTTGCAGTGAGCCGAGATCGTACCACTGCACTCCGGCCTGGGCGACAGAGTGAGACTCCATCTCAAAACCAAAACCAAAACCAAAAAATAGCAGCACGTTAACACTCACAAATGAATATGTACATGCTAAGAAGTTGAGTGTAACAGGAGATTAACAGAGGGTGAGTAGCAGGATGATGTCTGGGAAGGGATGTTAATACAGCGAAGGTGTGTTGGCACTAATTGCTCCCAGGTAAGGAAGGCAGGTCCAGCTCCTGGTGCAGGTGGCTCCAGGTCTATCCAGCATAGAGGGGCCGGTGGGTTAGGACACCTTGGTGATCAGGACATTCTCGCGGTCAGGACACCTTGGTGACGCCATTCCCCGCTGACAGCACTCTCCCCACCCTGATGAGGTCCTTTCCACTCCTCTGGTTGCTAGGGCACAGGGGACTCAAGGGCAGCTCTGCAGGCCAGTTGGATGGGTGGCGGGGAGTGCAGCGAGGAAGGAAAGTGAGGCTCTGTCCCCGTCCTCCAGCCCACCCCCCACCTGTCTCATCAGCAGTGTCCGTGAGATGCTTGGCAATACCCTAGGCCCTCCTTTCTTCTGGGTCTCAGCACCCCCCTGCGCCCTCCTGCTTCTTGTCTTCATTGGCCTCCATGGCCCAGGCTATCCCTGTCCCTAGTGCCAGTCACCTGGGAGTACAAGGGGCCCAGCTGGCCTCTTCAAAGTGCTGCTGGGGAGGCGGGCGATGCGGCTGCGGCCACGGGAGACTGAGGAACTGAGGGAGGAAAGGAGGGAAGGTGGACGGTTACGGCCCTGTCTCTGGACTATGGGTGTGCATTGAGTGGGGCATGTAAATACTCAACACTAAGCTCTGAGAGCAAAGGATGCTGGGCGCCAGCAGGAGCTTCCAGAGCCGGATCTAAGGGCGGGAGAGGCAGTGTCTAGGGTTGGGGATATGAGAGGGAAGTAGCGGTGAGGATGGAGAGTCCCTTTGCTGGATTAATGGTGTGCAGCACCTCCCTCACGGACCAATGGGTGCTGAGCGCCTCCCTCGTGGATCAGCTCTGGGTGATCCTGGGATAGCAAGGGCCAAGGAAACCTCAGGTGGAGAACTAGATGCGCACCCTGCTCACAGGACCTCAGCTGCTTGCTCGGGGGGTCCAGAGACAGAGACACTGGGGGCCCAGAGTCAGCCCAGGTGTCTGCTGCCCTGCTGAGAGCGAGCTCCTTCTCCCAGACAACTGACCCCTCCAAAATCTCACCTCGCAATGCGCTTCTTCTGGCAGGCAGAGGTCCCAGGGAGGGAAGATGTTGGCTTGGGACCCTTCATGGTGAATAGGGGCATGGATCCCCTAGGGAGGGAGGGAGGGGAAGGAGGCCGATCAGCAGGGAACCAGAAGCAGGGCCAGCCACTTCCTCCCTCCAGCCCCCAGCTCAGGCATGGGGGAGGGTGGTTGGACAAGATGACCTCTGAGGTTTCTTCTACAAAGAGGTGGATTCCTCTCCCTGCCTTACTCTGCCTGGCTGACAGCTGAGTGACAGGCCTGCTCTGGGAGGACATCCAGATGTCAGTTTCTGGTGCACCCAGGGAACTGGAGTTCAAACAGTTTCACCCTTCCACCTGCCCGGCTCTGCGCTTGTTACCAAGAGCTGCTTCTTGGGCTGTGGAAGGGGGCGGGGCACAGGTAGGCAGAGCCTGCCAGCCTCTGCACCACAGGTGCAGGTCAGTCTGCCACTGGTTCTTGGCCTTGGACTGTCCTGAGCGGGCTGCTGTTCCCCTTCCCTGCCATGTGTGTGGAAAGGGGGAGTGAGAGCTTCATCTTCTCACTGGAAAATACTGAACTGAGTTTTCTAAGGACCCCCTTTCCTGTTCCAGATGCTGGGCCGGAGGCCAAAATCTGGAGTAGAAGTGGCAGAAAGAGGTATTTCCTAGTGGAACATAGAATGCAGCCCAGGTCAAAGAGCCCGAGTAAAGACAGGAACAGTAGTGTTGGGCTCCCCTAGTACATTCCTGTTCCCTGCTGACTCTTTCCAAGTTGGGGTCCCATTAGCTACGCATGAGCATGCTACAAACCAGCACAGAGTGGGTGGCTTTGCAGCATGGACAGACCAGGCAGGCGCCCCGAGGGAAGTGACGCCTCCTTGGCAGCTGTATAGCTGTATAGGCTCTCCTGGGCCTGGGGAGCAAAGCGGATCACAACCAAAGGGGAACAGATAGGAACCGTCCCAGCTCCACACGTCACGCTGTCCTCCATATTTCTCAGCAGCACCAAGAAGTCCCTTGCTGACCCATGACCCCGACGGAAGGGGTGGAACGAGACTGGGAGACCCACCTGGGGATGAAGGGCTGGCCTAGCCTGCTCAGCTCCTGGGGGATTTTGTCCCAGCCAATGCATTCATGGAAACTGGGCTTTGAGGGAGGCTCCTCGGAGAGATCGAAGGTGGCGTTGAGGTCTCGAGTGGGCAGGGCCAGCGGGGTGGAGCAGTTCTGCATGGCGGAAGGGCCTAGGGGCACCCGGCTTTTGATGACTGTGGTTGGGCAAAAGTGAGGGGAATGGCAGGGGGAGGAGGCCCTTTCTCCTTTGGGGGTGCTGGGCCCCTGTGAAGGTTGGGCGTCAGGCAGAGACCCTCTCCTCAGGCAGGGCAGGAAGGACTGGCGCTGGCGCTTGGTGCCCCGCTTTGGGGCCATGGGACTGTCTGGATCCAAGGGGCTTGGTCTCCTCCTCTTCTTCTTCTCCATGGGCCATTGGGATTCCTGGGCTGGTGTGTAGTTAGGTCCAGATGGGACCCCCAGCGTGTGCAGGGGGCCACTCAGTCGCCTCGCCATGGTCCGGGTCACAGGGCCAGTGTGTCCTGGAGGCTCTGGGTGGAGAGGAGACTGCACAGGGACTGCACAGAAGGAAGGAGAATTTGTAGAACTTGGGGAGCCAGACACTGGAGACATGAAGGAGCCCAGAACCCCTCAGGTCTCCTGGGGCCACTCTGTGTGCAGAAGTCTAGGATCCCAGGGGCCCAGCCTCCTACAGCAGCAAAACCCAGTAACTGAGGCCCCTGGACACCCCTCAGCCCCAGTGGGGCCTTGAAGACAGCACCCATAGGCAGGGAGAGCAGGATGAGACTCACTTGACTCTGAACACAGCTCCTGAGTCAGAGGTGCCCCCCTGGCCAGGCCAGAAGTGCTAGAGGCCTCTGCCCCAGGCTCAGTTTTTTCCTCTTGCACCAGCTGCTGTAGGGTCTCAAACTCCGTGATCATGTCGGGGGTCAGGAGGTTGGCTGCTTGGAGCAGGGAGTACTGCCGCTGGGCCAGGCACAGCACCTTAAGGGCCAACCTGGAACAGAAGAGATTCCCAGCCCTGCTCATACCCAGCCTGACCAGGAGCCTCTATGCCATGCACCTGTCCTCATCACTCCAGCTGTGGCTGAGGAGCCTGAACTGCTCCCCTGGTTCCCTCCTGCCTCGCTCCAGACGGGCTGGCCAGGCTCACCACCCTCCCAGCCTGCTCTGCTCCTGCTCCTGCTCTGCTATACTTTTGCTGAAGGCCAAGGCTGGCCAGGATGGCCACAGGTAATGGTGGGAGGTGTCGCCCACTAAACACGTCCCATGACAAAGACAGTGATCTGAGAAATAAGGAAAGGGCACTGGATGGCCCTGAACTCAGAAGGTCTGAGTCTCCTCTTGGCTCTGCCACTTACTAGCGCTGCAATCATGAGTTCATCTACCCTAAGGGCAGTGCAAGGGAGCAGTTAAGAGCCCAGCTCAAGTTAGACTGCCAGTTTCCTGCTCAAATCCTGGCTCCAATACCTCCCAGGTTTGTGATCTCGGATGCACTGGTTAACCTCAGTCTCCACAACCTGAGAATGGGGATAATAAATGCACCCACCTCATAGGGTTATTGGAAAGACTGAATGAGTTACTTTACAGACAAAATGTTTAAAGAATACCTGGCATGTAATAAGCACTGTAGGTCTAGCTAACTATTGTTTCCTGTAAAATGGAAATAATACCATCTTGCTGGTTAGGATAAGAGGAGATTATGTAAGATAGGGTATGTTCATCGTGGTTCTAAGAAAACCCTCAAAAACACATTCAGTCCATGCTTTCTATTTAATGATTGGGATCCTGAAAAAGTATGTGTGAATCAAAGTGTATTTCACAGGCACTGGGGGGCTATTTAAAGGAAATGACGAGGGTAATGAGATTATTGAGGTTGTAAATTTAGATTCTAATAAAGCATATTTTCTTTCTGTAAGGCACACCTATGATAAAAGAATAAACACAATTATCTCAGTGGGAATTATCCATGGAAAATGATTTATCCTCAGGTAGTTCTACCAGCCTGGACATCTCTGAAGCCCCCTCCACTGCCCTCAGTCAGGGTGTGCTCAGGGAACACAAACTCATTTTATAATGCAGCCTCGAGGCCTTTTTGAAAAAAGGCAGGATATAAATTAAAATGGACACAGTGGAAACTCATTCTATATCTGCACGAGCCACACATTACAAGGAAGATTAGACAATTGTGAAGCGTGGGCGTTTGGGGGAAATATCCAGGCTCTGGCCCCGTCCCTCTTGCTATGTGAGCCTGAACAAAGGCTCCAGTGCCCCATCTGATAAATGGGGAGCTGGTCTAAATCAGGAGTTTTCAAATTAGGTTTCAAAAACCCATCAGACAGAGTAACTCTGTTTTGACTGTTCTATGCATTAGATTTCATTGTAGCAAAAAACAATAAAAAAAAAATCTGAAAAACCACTGAATTGGAAAATCTAAGATCTACTCAGTGCTCTAGTGGTCCAAGATTCTAAATTCTAAAATCAAAGGGAAATATTTTCAATGATCTGGTTGTTAGGACATTTCCAACATGGAGATTTGTTACATTTTATTAGTAGTTCATCCCCGAGAAGTAGGGAGACTGGGGACTATGATCCGCAAGTCAAGGCCAAGGTTGAAGCAATCTATTGGAGACCACAAAGCCAGGGCAGAAATAAGGACCCTGGTGTCCTCTCTCCTCATAACAGGGGACCCCTAGCAGATGGGCTCTGGGTCATTGGTAGGAGCTCATGGTTGTTCCCCGGGAGATGAGGGGGACGTCCCAGCAGTGCATCCTTTCCTCTCCAGGGCCCTGGGCAGGACCTGATAGCAGGAGACAGATAATGAGCTGCCGATTATTCAGACTGCAGCATTTTTGCTGAGTCGGGAACAGACACTCCCCAACAAGAAATAAAATTAAACAGGCCCTTCTGTCCAGAAGCTTTAAATACACTGCCTAGCGTGAAGCGTGCTGGGGAGGGAAGAACGGGATGGCAGTAACAGAGCTAAGTGGCAGGGGATTTAGGAACTAGGGGCCAAGGAGAAAAATATTAGCAGCATCTTTCTATGAAGCATAGAAAGAATAGTCCAAAATCCATTTTTCTTTGGCTTTGAGTAGTGGTTGATATTTACTTCTGAGAATAAATGAATAAATAGCCACAGTCAATCCGTTGATGAAGACACACGATAAACACTGGCTCAGGAAGGCTGTCCTTTCCCCAGCCTGACGTTCAGCTTCCCTTGGCTGCCCCCTCCTCGCTGTAGATGGGCAGCCTGGCCTCAGACTGGAAAGCAAAGCGCAAGTCCCAGCCGCCCTGCTCTGACCCAAGGCCTGCTGGCTGCCTGGATGGACTCTGGCGTTTTGCTTCCCTCTCCTGCTGGGCAGCCAGCTATGTAGAGGAATACGTAGATGTGATAAGCTAATTGAGTAGGTGATGATAACATCAAAGAGGTGAAACCCGGTAAAGGACAGTGCTGATGAAGAGACAGAGATTTTGTGATGTGCTTAACACCAATTCCCACCCCCAGGGAGGCTGAACCCATCACTTCCCACCTGGATTCCAGAATACAGCAAGAAGATACCTACTGTTTAGAACAATCTCGTTCCAGTTCCTGTGCTGAGAGGTGGCCCACAACTGGGTTGGGCTGCAGGGTCAGGCCAGGGGACTCTGGCAGTGCATGTGTGGGGTTCTGCTCTGGCATCTGTGTTGGAACCTAAAGAGGAAGGAGAAGGCACAAGTAGAGGGGCCAGGATGGCCTCCCCACCTTTATAAACAGTTTCTAAAATCCTTCCCTCCTACAAGAGTGGAAATGAGAGCTCCTAGAATGACTAGGTCTTGGTCACTTCCAAACACACAACGATCTGATGGATCATTTCTTTTTCCTGCCCAGAATCTGAAATCCTCCTAATGACGAAGGTACAAGACATCCACATAGAGAGACGGGACTGAAGGGACTCTGAATCAGGGAGAGGCATTTTTTCCAATATCCCACCAGCTCCAAGCCCTTCCGTTACCCAGGCCTCACACCCCCAAGTCCTACCTCCTCAGCTGGGCCTTCACCCTGGTCCTTTGGGGACTGCTCCTGGTCTGAAGAGTTCCCTTCCATGGCCCTCTCCACCTGGGCCTCTGTCCCCAGACTCTCCTCTTGAAGGGCTCTAGGCCCTGCAGGGAGCTCTGGAGTACAGGGCAGGCTGGGAGGGTGGGGTGGCAAGGGGGAGCTGGGAAGGCTAAGAGGGAAAGGAGGGTTTGAGGGGCAGGATGTGGGCCAGGTGGGAGAGCAGGGGACGGGTGGGATCTCTGTGGCACCCAGGTCATATAGAGTCCATAAGGGACAGACGCTTAGGTGACAAATGGGCAGTAGCTGAGGGTAGGAGGGGTCAGGGATTTTCTGGTTTGCGAACACCCTAAGTTCACCTTCTCTCAAATAGTAGGCCCTGCTCTTATGGGCTGGGGTGCCATTTACTCACTGGACACAGCACTGGGTGTGAACCCTTAACCCTAGGGATTGGAGCAGAAGCAAGGAGTCCTATTCTTCCAGAAACTGGAGAAGAGGGCCTGGCTCCCCATCCTGGCTGAGCTGCAGGGTGGGGGTGGGAATGGGCAGTGGAACTCACTGTTGTGGTGGTCCCGACTTGGGGGATCTTGGGAGGTACTGTTTTGGGGGTTGGCCTCCCCCTTCATATACTTGGAGCTTCTTCCTCAGAGCGGCTACCTGGAACAGAAGCAGCCCAGCCCAGCCCCAGAGAACCCTGGCTAAGCACAGGAGGGGAGGGGCAGACAGAGTCCCGGTCACACCCTCAAGCTCCTGCCTCTGGCTCTCTGCCCCCTAGCCTGCCCCCAGGGCAGGCTCCTCACCTCAGCCTGGAGCTGTTGGCAGATGGTAGCATACTGGCTGATGTGACAGTCCAGGCTGGTCACGTTGCTCTTCAGCTGAGATGGGGAATAGGAGAGAGATTTATTTATTCATTCAAAGCAGCTTTTATCAGTTACCTCCGACGGCCAGGCACTGCGCTAGGTCTCACCCATGTCCCCATGACCCACCCTCGCAAGTGGGGAGACACAGCAGAGAAGGTCAGTATCATGCCTAAGACCACAGTGAGGGGCAGAAGACCCCCGACTCCACGAATAAGACCGTCTTGCCAGGGTTAGGGTGTTCTTGCAGTGGTCCCAGGAGAGCCAGGGCTCCCTAGGGGAGGGAGGGAGGGAGGGAGATAGGGGTCAAGCAGATGTGGCAGAAAGCATATATCGGTGTTTATGTTTTGCTGAAAATATGCTCCTGCTGCTAAAAACAAGTCTGAACTAGACCACTGGCCAATGAGAGGCCACCGTCCTGCTGTCTCCCTTGGTTTTGGAGACCATCTTGCCCCTCTCAGCTGGTGACTTCCCACCCAGGGATGAGGACTGTGTTGCTTCTATCACAAAGACTCTCTGAAGACAGAGGAACTTCTTTTTTTTTGAGACAGAGTCTAGCTCTGTCGCCCAGGCTGGAGTGCAGTGGCATTATCCCAGCTCATTGCAACCGTCACCTCTTAGGTTCAAATGATTCTTCTGCCTCAGCCTCCGGAGTAGCTGGGATTACAGGCGCCCACCACCATGCCCGGCAAATTTTTGTATTTTTAGTAGAGACGGGGTTTCACCGTGCTGCCCAGGCTGGTCTTGAACTCCTGACCTCTGGTGATCTGCCCACCTCGGCCTCCCAAAGTGCTGGGATTACAGGCATGAGCCACCATGCCCAGGCCAGAGGAACTTCTTTCCTCTGCCTTGGGGACACTTGGCCCAGGGATCTGTGGGAGCTGCTTAGGTGCCACCCTTCCCTGCTCCCCGGCGGAAGCACGCACCGAGAGCCTGATCTCCTTGGCCCGGTCGGCATATTTGAGGGTGTTGTACGTGTCCTCGTAGGCCAGGCTGGAGGGGCTGATGGCAGCGATCATCACGGTGCGGCAGTTGCCCCCGAGGGAGTCTTTGAGCAGGCGGGTCAGTTTGCTGTCCCGGTAGGGCACATGGGTCTTGCGGCCCTGGGGGGTGCAGTGAGCGGGTGTAGGGTAAGGAGGCTGATGGCACGGACCCAGGATGGGGACCTGTGGCCTTTGGCCCTGGGTTCAGGTGCTCAGTTGCTATCCTAGGGGGAACGCTGGCCTGCGCCGCTTTACCTTTGCGTCGGCCAAGGCGTTGAGGACGTTGATGAGAGCCAGCAGAGATCGGTTGATGTTGGCCCCCTCCCGCAGCCGCTCCCCCTTCGCATGGGTGCTGGATGCCCGCTCTGAGCCAGCTAGGTCAATCAGGCTCATCTTGGCCATCTGGACAGCCTGGGTCAGTCCTGGAACCCTGTCCTGCTGCTTCACAAAGATCTGAAGGGAGATGGCAGGGGTGAGGGGGAGCTAGGCATCAGGAGCCCTGGTTTCAGGCTCTGACCCATGACCTCACCTGGAAGATGGCATGGGAGCGGGAGGAAGTCGCGTTGGCATCAGTGGGGTGCTGTGTGCGGTTACGGTTCCCCCTGGTCAGCATCTCCAGCAGCTGCTCAGCTGAGGCTGGCTACAGAAGAGAGGCCCAGGAACGGGGCTGTGGGTTCCCCGACCAGGACTTTTCCCCTAACAGGAAGGGCTGCTCTTCAGAACCTACATCACCCCCTTGATACCACCACCACTGCCACCACCATCACAGGACCTAGGGCATCCCCAAACAGTTTTGTGAGGGAACCCCGAGGACCCACGGGGCCAATCGTCCTACCCAAGCCCAATCCCACACCTGGTGGAAAGAAAGTCCTTGCACCACCACCCCCTTGTCAGGGTCCTCGCGGATGGCAAGGGGCCCCTTGGGTTCCAGGAGGTCATGGATCTGCTCGTTGTACACCTGAGAAAGGGAGAAAGGAAGAGGCCTGAGGGAGAGCGGCCCATCAGGAAACCTCTCCCTAGCGGCTGGACAGGGGAGCTGAGGCTGGGGTGTATCTGAGACACCCACAGGAGTGGTGCTTCCCAGGACTGTGTTATATGACCACAGCAGGGTGAACGGGCGGGTGTCTCCAGCGCAGCATTTCACTGAGCTGTATCTATCTCCTTGAAGGGCCCCAGCTCTCCATTTCCTGCCACCCTGTCCCACACCAGCTCACTCCACCCCATGGGCTTGCTTCCCCCCAGGTGGTTGTGAAAACGAGGCCCAGGGCAGGGGCAGCCGACCTCCTGGTAGCTGATGAGCACCTCGAAGCACTTCTCCTGCTGGCGGGCCTCCAGGCGCCTGTACAGTTCCACGGTGGTCAGGTACATGATGCCGGGGTCTGCCTCCCTTCCCAGCATGGTGTGTGTCTTCCCAGCCCCGGTAGCCCCGTAGGCAAACACTGCAGAGGACAGAGTAAGGAGGAGGACCCCAGTGCCTTGCCACCTAGCTCAGACCTTCCCTCCTCCCTCAAGCCCCTTTCCTTTGCCTCCTGTGTTCCCTGGTCCACTGCTCCCACTAATCGCACCCTCCATGTTCCCACTGCAGGGTTGGAGTTCTCTGTGTGTTTGTTCTGCTGCCCCATAGGCCAGTGGATTTGGGATGACCGGATCTCCACTATGGGTGTGGGCTATGCCTTCCTTCTGTAGGCGAGGCAGCTTTTGGTGTTGAAGGCCCACAGTTATCTCCGTCTTACCATTTACCCTGGTTTATCGCCACACACTGTGGGTGTGATCTGTGAGTGGTGTCTTCTCCCCTCTAGACTGTGAGCACCGAGTGGACAGGAACTGTCCTGTCTGATTTGCTGGTGCAGCCCTGGGCCCAGTAGAGTGCCTCCCCCATAGACTGAATGAATGAATGGGGGTCCCACAGAGCATGATGGGACATTGTACAGAACTCCTTAGTAAATCGTGCCCAGCCTCGGGGAGGCGGGCACGTGCCAGAAGACACATGAAACCCTTCCCTTAGGAGGAGGCAGGGAGGCCAGGCCACTGCCAGGCAGGGCTGAGGTTCTCACCTGAGCAGTTGTAGCCCTGAAGGAAGCTGTCCAGGATGCTGTGCGTGGTGTGCTGGAACACGTCCTGTTGGGTGGCCGCCTCGCCAAAGATCCGGTCAAAGACAAACGTCAGGTCTTTGCCCTTCTTCTTGGGGCCATCATGGGTGCCGCCCCACTTCAGGCCAGGGAGCCCTCCATCAGTCTCCTCAGGGTTAAACACCAGCACCCGCTCGTCCACCACCTGAACCACTGGCCGCCGCTGACCGTCCAGCTCCCGAGGGGTGGGGGGCCGCACCCGCACCACCACTTGCAGCGTGCTGTCCTCCACTGCCATCACCGTGGCGACACCTGGGCCGAGACATGGTGGAGCTGAGGGCCAATCCCACCCCAGGCCTGACCAGGTGCCCCCTCAGCACTCCAAGGCCCCCTCCACCCACTCCCAATGACTGGTCTCTGTTTTATGCCTCAAGAGAGTAAAAATATTGGTGCCGAAACCAATTATATCTCTTTCGCACTTGAAATACCATCTTTGTCATACTCAAATGACTATATATATATATAATATATAATATATAAAAACATTTTTATATATAAATATATTATATTATATTTATATATATATTTATATATAAACTATATATAAAAATATATATATTTGAGACGGACTCTTGCTCTGTCGCCCAGGCTGGAGTGCAATGGCGTGATCTCGGCTCACTGCAACCTCCGCCTCCCAGGTTCAAGCGATTCCCCTGCCTCAGCCTCCTGAGTAGCTGGGATTACGGGCGCGTGCCACCATGCCCAGCTAATTTTTTGTGTGTATTTTTAGTAGAGAGGGGACTTCACCATGTTGGTCAGGCTGGTCTCGAAATCCTGACCTTGTGATCCGCTCACCTCGGCCTCCCAAAGTGTTGGGGTTATAGGCGTGAGCCACCACGCCAGGCCTCAAATGACTATATTGTTGAAGGCCTCTTACTGGGCTTTCTACTATGTTCCACGAATCCATTTGTCTATTCTTTTTTTTTTTTCTTACTTTTCATAACCTTCATGTAGCTCTGTCTATCCTTGGGCCAGTGCCACACTGTTTCCATGATATTACTTTACAGTATGCTTTCCAGCTAGTAAGGCAAGAACCTCTTCATTACTCTTTCTTTTCTATAGCTTTCTTGGCTATTTTCAGGCATTTATTATGCTACTTGATTTTAAGAAAATTTTATCAATTCTACCCCTAACCTGGAGTCCTCTCCTCCCTCAAAAACCCTATTGGGACTACAGTTTGAACTATTACATTTACATATTTATTATACTGAGCCTTTTATTTTTTTACTTTACATAAGCCTTTAGCAGCCAAGTGTATTAAACCCTTTCAGGCAAGATTGTGGCTACTGCCTTTCTTTTTGTTCAGATATTTTTTATGTCCCTCAATAAGATTTTATAGTTTTCTATCTCTTCAGTTAGTTCTGTAATTGTCCTTTTAATATATTTCTCAGGTGTTTTATGTACTTAATTGCTCCTGTGGATGGAACACTTTTCCCCATTTACATTTCCAGCTGATAATTACTAGTATGGAGGAACACAACTAATTTTATATATTCACGCTATATCTACCACCCCCAAACTCTCTTATTAATTTCATTTATTTTTGTTAGAACTTACTGGGTTTTCCAAGTATACAATTATGTATCAGAAGAGGAAAAAATTTTTACCTTTTCTTCTCTATATTCATACCCAATATTTCATTTCTTGTCTATTGCAGTCTCTAGAATTTCTAAAACAATGTTGAATAATTATGATAATGTGCATTCCTGTTTTGCTTCTGATTCTAAAGGAAATGGCTTTAGCGTTTCCCTATTTAGACATTAGTTTTATACAAGTAGTCTTTATCACATTAGCAATTTCTTCTATTCTTGTTTTACTTGGGGTTATTATTAGGAAAGTCTAGAATTTTATCAATGCTCTTTTAGTATCTCCATACACACACACACACACACACACACACACACACACACACACATATGTATGTATTTTTTTTTTTTTTTTTTTGAGACGGAGTTTCACTCTTGTTACCCAGGCTGGAGTGCAGTGGCATGATCTCAGCTCACTGCAACCTCCGCCTCCCAGGTTCAAGCAATTCTCCTGCCTCAGCTTCCCCAATAGCTGGGATTACAGGCGCCTGCCAGCAGGCCCGGCTAATTTTTGTGTTTTTAGTAGAGATGGTGTTTTGCCATGTTGGCCAGGCTGGTCTCGAACTCCTGACCTCAGGTGATCTGCCCACTTTGGCCTCCCAAAGTGCTAGGATGACAGGCGTGAGCCACCTCACCCGGCCATCCCAATATGTTTATGTGTTTTTTTTCTCCCTTATTTTGTTGCTATGTTAATTTATTAGATATTATTCCTGGTATCAAACCAACCATGCATTCCTGGAAAAAATCCTACCCCAGCCGTAGTGAAGTTTTTAACACTTAAATGGTCAAACATGTCAATCTTTTATTTTATAGCTTTTATGCCATACTTAAGAAGACATTTCTTCTACAAGGTAATAAACCCTCTTCTTATATTTCTGTCTAATACTTTTTCTTTCTCACATTGAGGTCGTCATGGAGATGGAATTTTTTTTGTGTGTAAACTATGTGAGGAGGTTTCTAAATATATTTTCTTTCTAATTGGTAAGCAATTATCCTCAAGGTCATTTATTGAATAGTGTATTCTTCCTCCACCAATTTGAAATGCCAAATTTAACATAACTAAAGTCTCTTAGAAACATGAATTTGTAGCTGGGTGTGGTAGCTCACACCTGTAATCCTAGAACTTTGGGAGGCCAAGGTGGGCAGATCACCTGAGGTTGGAAGTTCGAGACCAGCTTGACCAACATGAGGGAACCCCCTCTCTACAAAAAATACAAAATTAGCTGGGTGTGGTGGCACATACCTGTAGTCCCAGCTACTCGGGAGGCTGAGGCAGGAGAATTGCTTGAACCTGGGAGGTGGAGGTTGTGGTAAGCTGAGATCATGCCACTGCACTCCAGCCTGGGCAACAGGAGTAAAACTCCATTTCAAAAAAAAAAAAAAAAAAAAAGGAACATGAGTTTGTGCCAGGTGCGGTGGCTCATGCCTATAATCCTAGCACTTTGGGAGGCTGAGGCTGGCAGATCACTTGAGGTCAGGAGTTTGAGACCAGCCTGGCCAATGTGGTGAAACTCTGTCTCTACTAAAAATACAAAAATTAGTCGGGCATGGTGGCAGGTGCCTGTAATCCCAGCTACTCGGGAGGCTGAGGTAGGAGAACCACTTGAACTTGGGAGGCAGAGGTTGCAGTGAGCTGAGATCGCACCATTGTAATCCAGCTTGGGTGACAGAGACAGACTCCATCTCAAAAAAAAAGAAAGAAACATGAATTTGTTTCTGGACTTTCTCTTCCGTTTCGTTATGTCCATTCCTTTTCCAGTACCTCACTCTTGTAATTACTGTGGTTTTATCATATATCACCTCATTGCTCTTTTTCTTGGCTATTTTTAGGCATCTTGTCTTACATATGGTTTTAGAATCAGCTTACGAACTTCTATGAAAAATCCTTCTAAGATTTTAATTTGGATTATTTTGAACTTATAGATTAATATGAGGAAAATTGGCATCTTTACAATATCAAGTGTTCCCACCTAGGAACCAATATCTCTTTCCATTTATTCACACCTTTACAGTCTTTAGTAAAATTTTATAATTTTCCTCACATGGGTATTATATATTTCCTGATAGGCTTATTACCAGTTATTACATGATCTTTGCTATATTATGTATAGGCTTTTTGTTTTATTTTTATTTTTATTTTTTTTGAGACTGAGTCTCGCTATCGCCCAGGCTGGAGTGCAGTGGCACCATCTCGGCTCACTGCAACCTCCACCTCCCAGGTTCTCTTGCCTCAACCTTCTGAGCAGCTGGGACTACGGGTGTGCACCACCACGCCCAGCTAATTTTTGTATTTTTAGTAGAGGTGGGGGCTCCAACTCCTGACCTCAAGTGATCCATCTGCCTTGGCCTCCCAAAGTGCTGGGATTACAGGCGTGAGCCACTATACCCACCCACTCCTTTTAAAATTACATTTTCAAACTCCTTTTTTCCAGAAGATAGGAAAGCTACTGATTTCTGCATGCAGATCTTGTATCTGGCCACATTGCTCAACTCCCTTACTGGTTCTAATAGATTGTCATTGATTCTCTTAAGTCTTTCAATTAAACGATGATATCGTTTGCAAATAATGACAGTTACTTTCTATTTTTAGCTCTTCTTTTTTTTGAGACGGAGTCTTGCTCTGTCACCCGGGCTGGAGTGCAGTGACCGGATCTCAGCTCACTGCAAGCTCCGCCTTCCGGGTTTACGCCATTCTCCTGCCTCAGCCTCCCGAGTAGCTGGGACCATGGTCGCTCGCCACCTCGCCCGGCTAGTTTTTTGTATTTTTTTGTAGAGACGGGGTTTCACCGGGTTAGCCAGGATGGTCTCGATCTCCTGACCTCGTGATCCGCCCGTCTCGGCCTCCCAAAGTGCTGAGATTACAGGCTTGAGCCACCGCGCCCGACCAGCTCTTCTATATTTAGTTCCCCACCTCCACTGCCCATTAGGAAGGTAGGAATGGGTGTTGAATTTTATAAAATGCTTTTTGGCACTTGCTGAAGTGATCACACATATTTCTTCTTTAATCTATTAATGTAGAGTGTGACTCAACAGATTTCCTAATGTTGACTGGGTAATAATTCCAAACACATATTTACTCATATCTTATATCTTATATCTTACTTATATCTCCCCCAGACTCTCTCCTTGGTTTTTCGTTTCTCTTTCGAAACAGTGTACAAAGGGTAGGGATGGAATTCTTGGAATGCAGCGTACCAAGGGTAGGGATGGAATTTTGGAATGTATCCTGGAAAAGTTCAGCCCAACTCCAGGGCTATATTGACAGAGGTGAGGAACAGGGGCTGTTCCTGGGCATTCTGAATAGATGCATGCCTTCCAGGTAAAGACTAGCTTCCACTGGTGGGTCACAAATACCAAGGTCATTCAGCAAAGAAAAGTGGGGTTTCTACCTGACACTTTAGCAGATAGCTAAGGTTTTCCTTGGGGAATGAGAGAGAACTGAGCTGATTTGAAACTCCTGTTCCCTCACCCCTAAACTTCTTAACTTCTTTCCCATATAAAATAAGAGAAAGATATCAACCAACCATAATCCTTTTACATGTATGTAATTCTATTCCTGTCCCAGCAATCAGATTGCCATAGTAAGCATATTAGCTAAGTGCTCACTGTGTCAGGAACTGTTCAAAGCACCTTACACATATCTCCTTTTATCCCCATTGCAATCTC